GGGTGCGGCCCCTGCGCAGACATGCAGCAGTGTATTGGCCGCGGCCGCTGGGACGACATGTGCAAGCGGCTGCCCAACTTCTACGCCTGCACAGGCAACGCAGTCGCGCTCACCGACAAGGCTTGGCGCTGGTGATGGGTGCGGGGCATGTGGGCTTGAGCTGACGGGACCTGCTGTGGGGGTACAAATCCCTCCTGTGGTCGATGGCTGCCAGGTCACCTGGCGGGCCACCCGCGGCACCCCTCCTGTCGCTCCGCCACCGCTTTTTTTCAGGCGTATGCGGTCACCGCGCTGAGTGCACGTGTTGTCTCATGGGGCGGCTGCCGGGCCGGCGCTGCACGATGCGCGCCGCTCATTAGTCATCCTTTTCTTGCACTGCATGGATTGCCAGGCATGGAACCGCCCCATTGATCCGTTTTCCTGCATCTTTCACTTGCACGTTTTGCACTGCGTCAGTACTTAAAGCTGTGCATGAGTGTGCGGTGGGACCCGGCATGTCGACAGGCCAGCAGCAGCGGCTCGCAGTAACCACGTCCCCGATTGGCAGGTGCGTGCTGGCCAGATCCAGTGCGCCCGCCAGCTGTGGCCCGAAGGCGTCCTGTCCATCGGATGGGCAGAAATCATGACAAGGGAGCAGCCTGCGGCCGTGCCTGCTGGCGCCGCCTGCTGGCGCTGCCGGCAGTCCGGGGCAGGGCTGGGCCTTGACAGTGTGCATCTGAGCCTGGCCAGTGCGGGACGCCGCTTGCCGCCGGGGCCGGCATTGACGTGAATTAGAAAGATGAACCTAGATTGGATACACGTGCCGCGACAAGGTGTGGCCAGGCCTTCGCTCTGGGCTGCTCCGAGTCAAAGTTGGGGGTGGGGCATGGCAGCATGCGCGCACACGACTCGCCATCTGCCCGCAAACCGCCGCGGCCTGCGTCCACTGCACAGCCTGCTCCGCCTGTACCTGCGTCCGTAACAATATGTACCCTTTTTATAAACTGGGAGCAGTCTCCCTGAACAATTTGCTGTCTCAACTTGAGCAGCCAACCCCCGGACGCTTGCCCGATCACACGGCCGGTCCCCCGGTCATCAACCCATATTGAGCCGTCTTATATCAGGTGGCTGGCGCGATAGGCGCCCACCGAACGCTGCTTGCGTGGCACTTCCTCCCCGCCACGGGGCAGCCGGACCATATTATGCAGGACCCCTCAGCAGCGGTGGCCGCACTGCCACCTAGTGTCCTGGATGCTGTCGTATCAGGTCTCAGCGGCGTCGCAGGCGGCACGGCTGGCGCCGCGCCTCTCGGCGGCTTTGGGGGCGCCTTCGCCGCCCTGCTGAATGCAGCGCAGGTCGCAGAGGTGTCCCCTCCTTCCTTCCCAGCCCCCGAAGCCGCCACGGCGCAGCCTACCCACGCCTCAGCGGCCTGGCCTGCGGCCCCGCCAGCCACCGCCGCCGCAGCCCCGCCAACCGCAGACCACGCCGGCGCTAGCGGCCTACTCCCCGCCCCCTCCGGCCGCCGCAAACGCTCCAGCGGCAGCGCGGCGGCCCACTCCGCGCCGTGGGACGGGCCGCGCGCCGCGCAGGGGCCTGGAGGCAGCAGCTTCGGCGGCGCGGCGGGGTCGAGCGGCGGCGGCGGCGGCGGCGGCGGTGCTGACGAGGACGAGTCAATGGAGCAAGAGCCCTCTGAAGACACAGCGCCCCGGAGGACCAAGGTGCGGCGCCCTCCCCCTCCCCCCTCCCTATCACGCACATCCCCCTCCGCAACAGTGTGGCGTCGGCGCCGTGCGACCCTGCGGTTACGCGGGATCGGGGCCGGGCGCCGCAGCGGCCTGGCCGGGCCGGCGCCAACCGCTCGCCTGGTTTGACCGGGGTGCAAGGGCGGCGGCGCGGGCGCGCGGCCGCACGTTGGCGCAGCCCGATTGCTACCCGCGTCACATGCTGAGCGGTCTCACCCTTTGGTGCTGCGCCCTCCGCCTTTCATGGCGCCCGCCCCGCTGATGTCAGCAACAGCACAGTGCCGCGCATCGCCACCCTCCCATGCACGCCCTCCTTTTGACAGACTCTCGGCCGCCGGCCGCACCCCCCGATTCAATGCGCGCAGGGCGGCCGCGCCCGCGGCGGCGCCGGCGGCGCCGCGGCGGCCGAGTCCGATCGGCTGAGCAAGGCGGAGGAGCGCAAGCGCAAGAACCGCGAGTCGGCGCAGCGCAGCCGCGCGGCGCGGCTGGCGCAGATCGACACGCTGCGCGCCGAGGTGCACGCGCTGCAGGCGCGCCTGGAGCGGCGCGGCTGGGAGGCGGCGGGAGCGGAGGCGGAGGCGGCGGCGCTGAGGGGGACGGTGGCGCGGCAGGCCGAGCAAATTCGGCAGCTGCAGGCGCGGCTGGCGGGGGCCGGCGGTGGCGGCGGCGCGGCGGAGGGCGGGGCGTTGACGCCCGAGCAGCTGCAGCAGCAACAGCAGCAGCAGCAACAACAGCAGCAGCAGCAGCAGCGGCAGGAGGCGCTGATCCACCAGGCGCTGCAGCAGCTGGGCGTCACCGGCGGCGGCGCGGGCGCGGCGGCGGTGCTGGCGGCGGCCGCCGCGGCCGTCCGCGAGCG